GCATCACATTTTTGAATAAATATAATTTTTAGGATTTTTTTTCCTTAAAGCAAGCCTAAATCTGCTTCTGATCAACTTTACATCATGAATTCAAAGCTGGCAGGGCTCTTTGAAGTCATCTAATCCAACTCATTCATTTTAGAGATGAAGAAATTAAGACCCTGAGAGGTTAAATGACTTGTCCCAGGTCTAACAACAAGTGGTGGAGATGGGATTTGAACTCAGGTTCTCTGACTATAGATCCAGAGCTCTCTTCTACTATACCACACTGCCTTCTTTTACATTACTCCTAGCTCTATCCTTTGAGGACAAGCAGAACGAGTCTAATACCTCTTCCATAGGTTGTCCCCCAAATACCTGAAAAAAACTATCATGTCATATCTTCTTCACTCAAGTCATCATCTTTACCTCCTGTCCGAATAAAACACTGGATTCTGCTGCTGGAATCATCTTGGCTCTGCTTAGTAAGCTTTCCATTTATCTTACTAAGATCCAGGCTATCTCAAAGTATCCTCTTGCTTTCTAGCTTCACTTTTACATCTTGTCTTCCCCATTAAAATGGTTTTTAATTTTATTATTATTATTTGTAATTAATAAGCATTTGTTTTCTCTCCCTTCTGCCTCCCCTTACCCAAAGGAAAAAGAAAAGGAAAACAAAACCTTGTAACAAATATAGTCAAGCAAAATAAATTCTCACATTTAGTCATATCCAAAAATCTGTGTCTAATTCTGTATATTTGGTCCATCACTTCTCTATCAGGAGGTGGATAACATTCATCATCACTGTTCTTCTGGAATCATGGCTGATGATTGTATTGATCAGAGTTCTTAAGTCTCTGAAAGTTATTTTTTACAATGCTATTACAGTATAATCTGTTCTCCCGGTTCCACTAGGTCTTCCTAGGTTTCTCTGAAACCATCTCCTTTATTGTTTCTTATAGCACAATAGTATTCCATTACATTCATATACTATAATTTTTTCAGCCTTTCTCTAATTGATGAGCATCCCTTTAAGTTTCTAGCCTTTTGCCAACATATAAAAAAGAGCTGCTATATTTTTGGTATATATGGAATCTTTTCTTCTTTCTTTGATCTCTTTCTCCTCCATTAAAATGTAAACTCTTTGAGAGTAGGAACTGTTATTACATCCTTGTATTTGTATTCCTAGTATTTAGGACAAAATCTGATACATGGTAAGCTCTTAATAAATGTTCTATTTACCTACCTGCCTCTCTACTCACTTATCTCCCAATCTATCTAATCTGTTTGCTTATCTCTCAAATGATATTTGTCCTTCATTTCAAAGAGGACCATAGGACCAATGACATCATGGGTTGAGGTTTTGACTTGCTTGTGAGTTGGATTTAAGTGAGGCAGAGTTACACAAAGTTGTCAGCTTCATTCTCTCTTCCAGAGTCACTGAAGTCCAATGGCAAGACAAAAGTCAAGATGACAGGTGATTGCCTGGGATGCAGTGGATGATTGTCTTCTCCAAGCTTAATGTCCCCAATTCCTTCAACTGTAGCATGATCTCAAGCCCCTTCACTATCCTGGTGGTTAATTTGACAAACTAAAGATCAGAAATACAACTAGGACATTGCTGGACTCAAACTACTTGAAAAAGCTATCCAAAATTGTTACCTTCACTTCATCTCTTCTTGCTTTCTTCTATATTCTCTACAATCTGGCTTTCTACACCATCACTGAACTTAAATTGCCTTTTTCAAAGTCACCAGTGACCTATTATTTGCCACTGCTGAACACCTTCGACTGGATACTCTTTTTCTCTCTGGGTTTTTGTGATACTACTGTCTGTTCACCTGTCTGACTGCTCCTCAGTCTCCTTTGCTGGGTTTTCCTCCAGGCATACCCCAAGAATCTGCCCTGGGTCCTGTTCTCTCTACTCTTGATGACATCATCAACTCACTTAAGTTTATTTATCATTTCTATACTGATGACTCACAGATCTTTATTCCTTCAAACTGTGTGTCCCATGGACATTTCAAAACTCATTATGTTCAAAACAGAACTCATCATCCCTTGTAAACTCACCCCTCTATCAAACTTCCCTATTTCTGTCAAGTGTACCACTATCCTGGTAGTCACTTGGGTTTGAAACCTCAGTATCATCTTCAATTCTTCTGTCTTCACTTCACACATTCAAACAGTTGCCAGATCTTATAATTTCTGCCTTTACAACGTCTCTTGCACCTATTCCCTTTTACTGGCTCACACAACCATTGCCCTGGTTCAGGCCCTTTTCACCTCTTACCTGATCCATAGCCTTCTCATTGGTCTGCCTGCCTAATCTCTCTCCTCTCCAATCCATTCTTCACACAGATGCCAAACCAAATTGCCTAAAGCACATCTTTGACCAGTTGTTGTTATTCAGTTGTTTCAGTTGTGTCCAACTCTTCATGACCACACTTGAGGTTTTCTTGGCAAAGATACTGGAGTTGCTTGTCATTTCCTTCTCCAGCTCATTTTACAGATGAGAACACTGAGGCCAACAGGGTTAAGTGACTTGCCCAGGGTCACACTGCTAGTACGTGTCTGAGACCAGATTTCAACTCAGGAAGATGAGTCTTTCTGACTCCAGGACAGGTACTCTTTCCACCTCACCATCTAACTGCTATCTCTGACTCTATCATTCCCCTACTCAGGCAATTCTAGTAAACGTTTCAGGATTTGTTTGACATTTAAATCTTTCATAATCTAGCCCCAACCTACTTTTCCTTGTTTTACTATACATTGTTCCCCTTTACACACGCTATGATCTACAAACCGGCTTTCTTACTGTTCTTCCTATGTGAAACTCCATCTTCTGAATAGAATTCATTCCTTCCTCATTTCAGTATCTCAGACTCCTCAGTTCCTTTCAAGACTTAGTTCAAGCCTCACTTTCTACATATACCTTTTTTGACATTTTCCTCCCAACTATTAATGCCTTCTCACCCAAATCAACTTGTATCTATTTTGTATATGCCTACGTATATATTTGTATGAGAGGGGGTGTGGTATAGTGGAGAACCGGCTTTGGAGCCAGGAAGACCTATGTTTAATTCCCACCTCTGGCATGTACTGTCTATGTAACCCAGGGTAAATCACTTAACCTATATGCCTTAGGCAATTACCTTAGATCAAGTTGCAGAAAAGGTGCAGACCTGAGTTGGTAGAGGCAATTTTACCAAAAGTTTCCAATCCCCAGCTATGTACATGTCTCCTCCTACCAGACTATAAATGGAACTTTATTTTTTTTTAAAATAATATCTCAAAGGCTTAGTACATTTCCTGGAATGTAGTAGTTACTTAATCCTTGAATTACTTCTCTTGCCCCTAAAACACACATACAAACACACACAAATATCTATCTCACATTTGCAAGAGATCATAGAATTCTTTATCTGGAAAGATCTCAGGGACTATTTCATACAAATCTTTTGTAGATGAATGTAGAACATAAGCGTTTTGAAGGTAGAGATTTTTTATTTTTATATATTTTATGTTTATATATGTATATATATACATACATATACATACATAGAAATTTTTTATTTTTATATATTTTATGTTTATATATGTATATATATACATACATATACATACATATCTCCAGAACCCATAATGATGCAGGACACATAGTAAATACTTAATGCTTATTGAATAGAATTGAATGAGGAAACCAAACCTAAGGGAGATATAGGCATACCACCTTTTATTGTACTTCACTTTATTGGATTTCAAAGGTATTGTGTGTGTGTGTGGGGGTGCTGTTTGTGTGTTTTTGTTGTTGTTTTACAAACTGAAGGTTTGTGGCAACCCTGCCTAGAGCACCATTTTTCCAACAGCTTGTGCTCATATCACGCAGCATATCACATTTTGGTAATTCTCACAATATTTCAGACTTTTTTATTATTATTATCATACCTGTTGTGGTGATCTGTGATGAGTGATCTCGGATGTTACTATTGCAATTGTTTTGGGGCTGCACGAACTAAGCCCCTGTGAGGTGGCAAACAATCGATAAATGTAGTGTTTATTCTTATCTTCATTCTTATTAAGGGGATTAATCAAGTGCAACCCTTTGACTGAATCCAAACTTCACAGAACAAATCCCCCTGAAAGGATTTGTTCTATAAAACTTGGATTCAGTCAAAGGGCCGCACTTGAGGATCCAGAAAGCCACATATGGCCTCGAGGCCGCAGGTTCCCTACCCCTGCTAAGATATGTCTGTAGACACACTTGCCTAAAGGTAGAGGGTTGACTTTGTCACTGGAGGAGCACCCTCTATTTGTGCTCCCTGGGGGAGTGCCACCTTGGGAAGTGTGCAGATAGGGCACTTGCCTTAAGGATCAAAACCTGGGTTCAAATTTTAATTCAGACATTTGCCAGCAGGGTGTGTCTGGGCAATTAGATAAATCTCTATGACCCTCAGTTTCCTCTTCTGCAAAAACAGGATAACTGCACCTACCTCACAACAATGTGAAGATGGATATATGAAGTGCTATGCAAGTGCCAGATATTATTGTTGTTGTTATTATTATTATTATTACTGTTTTGCCTTCTTTCTGCTGCCTGTGAAGTAATTTCCTCTTACATCCCCATATTCCAGAAATAACGGCAGCCAAGGTGAGCTTTCTCAGGTTCTTGGGTATTAAGAGGCCCAATTGGTAAGCGAAGCTGCTAGGTTTCACCCCTCGCTTAAGTGCGGTCTGACAGAACCAAAAGGTGTCGGATCTCGCCCGGGGCCTGTGCTCGGTACAGCCCCACCCTCCACGAGCCTCCTCAACAACTTGTTTGCAGCCTGGAGCCCGCCCCTTTGCTTGCGCATGCGTATATCCAAGCGCAGGCCCTCTCCCGCCCCAGCAGCTTCCTGGTTTGACCAACGGAGTCGAGGCGCGGGGGGCGGGGCTTGGCGCTGGCGCTCCGCCCCCGTGACCCTCCCAGGGAGCCCGGGACTGCGGGGACCGGAAGTGGCGCCGCCGTCAGTGGTCTCCAGCCTTGGGGAGCTTGGACGGACTCGAGGGGCCGCCGCAGCCACTTCCGCGCGTGCTCCGGCTTCCCCGCGATGGGCTCGAAAGGGGCCCTGCTGTGGAGGCAGCTGTTGCTCGCGCTCCTGTCGGGGCTCTGCCTGGGCCAGGGCCACTTGTTCCCCGCCGGCAGCGGCCTGGGCTCAGTGACGCCCGCACTGGATCTCCGCCGCCGCCTGGTCCTGCTGTCCGAGCAGCAGGTGCTGGAGGCGCACGACTTGTCCCTGTCGCTGCTGCAGGGCCAGGGGCTGGGCCCGCCGTCGCTGTCGCTGCCCCCTGATCTGCCCGAGCTGGAGCCCGAGTGCCGGGAGCTGCTGCTGGACTTCGCCAACAGCAGCGCGGAGCTGACGGGGTGCCTGGTGCGCAGCGCCCGACCTGTGCGCCTCTGCCAGAGCTGCTTCCCGCTCTTCCAGCAGGTCACCGGCAAGATGGACAACATCAGCCAAGCCGTCGGGGTGGGTAGGGGAGAGGCCCTGGCTGGATGTGCTGGGGCGGGGAGGCATCTGGGACCCCGGAGCGGGGCGGGGTCTGGGGCCCTCCGAAAGGACTGATCCTTGCCAGCCAAGCTCAGGGGCATCTCCCTGCTCTTCTCCGGGTCCCCAGCCAGCCAGTCCACAAGCATTTATTGAGAACTTGCTGCGTCCCGGACGCTGGGGATACAGAGAACGAAGTGAAAACACCCCCTGCCCTTAAGGAACTTACATTCTAATGGGGGAATAGAATATGTATAACTACATAATAATATACATGAGGCGAATATAAGGTAATTAGGTGGGAGTGCACTATCAGCCTCGGGGGTGTGTGTGTATGTATGTATTTATGTGTGTATGTGCGTGTATGTGCTTGGTAAAGGCTCCATTTAGAAAGTGATGCTTGAGTCAGGCAACAAGCATTTATTAAGTCCTTAATGTGTTCAAGCAGTCCTAAGCAGCCGGGGATACAAAGAAAGGCAAAAAATAGGGTCCCTGCCTTCAAACAGCTCACATTCTGATGGGGGAGACCACATGCAAGCAACTGTTAACATACAAGATATGTGTACGTGTATACACTCGTACGACACATACACAGAGACTCTCCTCCCCCTTCTGTCTGTTTCTGTATATGTGCCTAGTATATACATATATGTTTATATATGTATACATGTATATATATAGAGAGAGAGAGGGAGAGAGAGAGAAATATTGGGTCTGTGTATGTGTACAAGCATACACACCCAGAGTGAGAATGCATAGATGGAGGATAATTTCAAAGGGAAGAGATAGGGTAGTAAGAACCTAGACAGGCCTTTCACAGGGATTCTGAGAGGGGGAAGGGAAGAGGCTGTGCATCCTAGATATGAGGGGACAGCTAGTGCCAAGGCACAGAGAGGGAAGTTAGAACATTTTGTGTGCAGAACAGGAAGTTGACTGGTATGGGTGGATCTTTATGGGTGGAGTTCAAGGAGAAGAGTAATTAATGGGTAAGAAGACCTCTGTGCTACCATGTCTCTAACCCCCAGTGTCTAGAGAAGTAGGCTCTGAATCGCAGTGTGGATCAATAAATTTGTTGTCTGCTCTTGGTACAAGACAGTCATTACTGTTCCTTCCCCTTAGATCATAAGATCATAGATTTAGAGATGGAAGGGACCTTAGAAACTATCTAGTTCAACCTCCTCATTTTACTGATGAGAAACTGAGACTTGAAGAGGGTGAATGACTTGCATAATAATAGTTAACATTTATATAGTGCTCTGAGGTTTACAAAATGCTTTGTGTATTATTTTCTCATATTATCCATACAATAACCTATTATCTCCATCTTGCGGGTGAGAAATATGAGACAGGCAGAAGTGACTTGCCTAGGGTCACATAGTTAATAAGCATCTGAGGCAAAGTTTGAACTCAAGTCTTCCCCTTTCCAAGCCCAGTTTTCTATCCACGATGCCACCTAGCTGCCTCTAAGGTCACATACACTAAGGGACAGAGCTGGATTGTTAAATTGCTTGAGGGGCAGCTAGGTGGCGCACTGTGGATAGAGCACTGGCCCTGGATCCAGGAGGACCTGAGTTCAAATTCAGCCTCAGATACATAATAGTTACAACTGTGTGACCCTGGGCAAGTCACTTAACCCCATTGCCTAGCCAAAAAAACCAAAAAAGCTAAGAATTGCTTGACAGTAATTTTGTGTACAGTGATTTAAGTTAAAAGGGCATATGTGACTATAGGAAAGACAAATTGTTTGCTGGAAGGCTTTTCCAAAAGAGTTACCATGGGGGCAGCTAGGTGGCGAAGTGGATAGAGCACAGGCCCTGAAGTCAGGAGGACCTGAATTCAAATCTGGCCTTAGACCAAACACTTGACACGTACTAGCTGTGTGAACTTGGGCAAGTCACTTAACCCCGATTGCCTCACAAAAAAACCAAAAAACAAACAACAAAAAAAAACAAACCAAAAAAAACCAAAAGAGTCACCATGAAATTATTTTTAAGAGGAAACTCTTTTAGTTTATTGAAGTGGTTCTACTGGTAGGTAGACTTACCAGTCTACCCAGAGGTTACTTAATAAAACTGAACAACATAACAAAATTCGTTTGGAGAAACCAAAGGTCTACCATCACAAGTGAAATAATTTTTTCAAGGAAGAAATCACTTCTCGACCTCAAAATTTTATGAAGCAGTGATTATCAAAATTATCTGGTACTGCTTTTAAGATAATAAGTAGATCAGTCCAAGAGACTTATGTAGGAAATGACACTTGAACTGAGCTTTGAATGAAACTAGGAACTCTTAAGAGGCAAAGGTAAGGACAGAGTGAATTCCATTCATAGGGGACAATCTATGCAAAGGCACAGAGATGACGGATGGAATGTCGTGTGAAGAACAGCAAGAATCAGAAAGAACCGAACTCACAAGCCCAAGAATATAATCTACTTTAGGAAAGATACTGTATTTAATTAGAACTTCTGGTAAAACTATGAAGTAATTTGTCACAAAATATGTTTAGATAAGCACCTTATGGCATAATATAATGCTAAGTTTGAAATGCATTCTTGAGTTAAATGTTTAAGGTCACACCATAATTAAATTAGAGGGGAATAGAAGGAGGTATTTCACAACTATAGCTGGGAGGAGAATTCTTAAATAAAGGATAGAGGAGATTATGAAAAAAAGGAGAAAAATTCTTACTATGTAAATTATGTTTTTAGAAATGTACACAAGTAAAATCAATGCAGCTAAAGTGATTCAACTGACAGTTTATGTGCAGTTTATGTATATTTTTCCTTTCTTTTCTCTTCCCAATAGTTAGCCTTGGTCTACCCTCCTTCCTTAGTTGGAGTCCTCAGATTCTTGCCTTATCCCCGTTTCTGATTTCTGAGTTGTTCAGTTTTAGAGTAAAAACCCTTTTTTTGCTGCTCTTCTTCCCCATATCCTCTTGCCTCATCTATGGTCTTTACCACCCTCAGTCCCAGACAAACCTTCCAATACCTTAGTAGTTGAAGGAGGAGGAACAAATCCTTGCAGTTTCCCTAATAAGTTCATTCAACTCCACATGTACATTCACCTTTCCCATTCTTCTAGTCATTAAAGGTCCCTTCTTCTTTCATCTCATATACCATTCTAGCCCTAGCACCTAATTTACTGCAGCGCTTTACCTGGACCGTGGCAGCCACTGTCACCTCTGTCTCTATAGGCAGCTCTGTCCCTTACAGTGGATTTTTATTATGACAAAATTGTTGTCTAGTGGAAAGAGTGCTGGTTTTGGAATCAGTAGAGACTTGGGTCTAGCCTTACTTGACAGTCTCACTAATCATGTGACCATGACTAATTTTACCTCTCTGGGCCTTAATTTCCTCATCTATAAAATCAATAGACAAGCATTTATTAAACTCCTACTGTATACCAAGAACTGTACTGGGCACTGGGGATATAGAGAGAAAAACGAAACCGTCCCTGCTTTTGGGAAGCTTATATTTGACCAGGGGATGGAATGTATACAACTTGTTCATGTAGAAGTATATGGAAATAAATACAATTTGAATTTTAGAGAAATATTCTAATAGCTGGGGGTATCAAGAAAGGCTTTATGTAAGAAATGGCTCTTGAAGCTAGCTTTGAAAGAACCTAGGGATTTTAAGTGGCAGAAGTGAGGACAGTGCATTCTATTCATAGGGAATAATCTGTGCAAAGATATGGAGATGTCAGACAGAATGTCATGTGTAAGGAACAACAAGAAATGGGAATAATAATATCTGTAATGTCTACCTCAGAGAGAATTTGAAGATCAATTTAGAAAATATGTGTTAAGTGCATTGCCAACCTTGAAGTGTTATATAATTGTTGATTGCTACTATTGTAAAGGTCATATGAGTCAAATCTGGTTTTTCCTTAAAAATAATTTCATGCAAGGGCGAGTAACCTCAGAGAAAGAACTGTGGACTGAGACAGTCAGAGAAGGCTTCTCATAGAAGATTGAACTTCCCTTAAAGGAAATATGGATTTAGATAAGGGAGGCAAAGGATTGAAGGAATGGTATTTCAGGCAGGGGAAATGTTAAGTGTGAAGATAGGGAAATACAAATGACATGTTTGGGGCACATGAGTAGACTAATTTGACTAGGGTTGAAGATAATTCATAATAGTAATAGCTAACATCTAGAATTTTAACATTTTTGCTTCACATATGTGATATCATTTGATCTTTACAAGAGCCCTAAGAAGTGGTAAGTACTTCAAGTAGTATTATATCCTTTTATGGATGAAGAAACTCATTTTGTTAAAGGGTAATTAACTGACTTACTCAGGATTCTCTAGCTATTTGTGGAGGGAGATATTTGAATACAGCTATCTTATGATTACCAGTCTAATGCCCTTACTACTGTACATCATCTGTCAACATGTAGAGAAGTATAGTAGGATATAAAAGTTTGAACCAGAAAGAGACTTTAGCAATGATCTATTCCTGTACTACTGCTGTATTTTAAAGATTAAGAAACAGGCTCAGAAAGATTATAGAGGTATGATGCCAAGGTCATACAGGTAATATGCACGATTGGACTTAGGTTCTTTGATTCCAAATCCTGTATTTCCATTACATTAGGTAGGGGCTAGATTATAGAGCACCTTGAGTACAAGACTAAGGAGTATAGACTTTACTTGGCTGCCTAATGTGTATACCAGAGATTTTTGAGCAGGGGTTACCATGCAAAACAATATTTTAGGAAGACTAAACTGATAGTGAGTAGAATGTATTAGGGCAGGGAGACCAGTTAGGAGACTAATTCTGAGTCAAGAGTGGCAAGGGCCTCTGGATCATAGTGGTGGAGTAGAAAGGAAGGCATACCTATAACAGGTTTTACTAAGGAAGAATCTTAAGTACTTAGTGATATAGGAGTTAAGATGAGGATAGAGTCAAGCATGAACAAATTTAGGGAATTGTATAATAACTATTTGTACAATTTGTTTCCATTACTATTAAAATGTTCTATGGAAAACTTTGAAAATCATTCTATTTAGGTAAAACTGTGCATCATGTTTTCTTCTGGTTCATGTGACAGAACAAAAAGCAGATCTTAGTGTTGAAGATGAAAAGAAATGCCTTTTTTAAAAGTCATTTTTGTTATAACTCAGCCACCATATTTTAATTAAATTTTGCTTTTGACATATAGAAGCAACAATACTTTTGAGAAGCAAAGACTCTGTGCAAGCATGTAATAGAAAATGGCCCTTTAAAACCAGCCTCCTTAATACTCTGCCAATTTAAATAATGCTATTTTTGTATAGACCATCCCATATTAAAAATGAGAGAGACTTATACAAATATAAAAGGTACGTAAGTAGGTTTTTTTGGTTATGGTTTTTCAAACATTTTAAGAAAACATTCTTACAGACCATTATTCTGAGTTACCATAGCAGTCTTATATTTCCCTGCTGTCTGAGATTTGTTCAGTTTTGTGCTGCTTACACTCATCTTTCAAATTTCATACTCTTGTGATACAATTTAACATCCTTTTGTAATTGTTTTCTTTGTTGAATTGAAGTTCTGTGATTAAAGAATTAATGTATTTGATTTCCATTCTTTGAATGGAATCAGATTACTTGGTTACCTATGCATTGTTTAATGCTTTTTTTCCTTTCCTTCTCTGTTTACTTAAACTATTGATTATTACCTCTATTGTCCTCTCTCCCACTGAATGGCTACTTATGTGTTGTTGGTTCTACAAATCTGACAGTAGGTAAAAAGTTGAGTTGTACCTGGATAAATCATCCAACTTCTCTGAGCCAGTTTTCTCATCTCTGTAATGGTGGTGGAAATATTTTCAGTCCGTTACTCTATTTTACAGGATGATTTTGAGGAAACCACTTTTTTAAAGTGAAAAACACTTTGGAAATTGTTGGCCATTTTATTAAATGATTGATGATAATTGTTTATCATTTGTGTAAGACGTGGTGCCCCAATTTTCTATTTAGATAAGTTAAAAAATTGCATGTGTGTTTTTTTAATCTCAAAGGAATATGTTGTTCCATTTCCCCTTCTCTTCTTTTTTTAATCCATTCTAGAATATGTCAGAGAGCCATAATTGTGCCAAAAATCTCTTGATGTCGGACAGGATGCAAATTGTAGTGATTCTTTCTGAATTTTTTAATACAACGTGGAAGGAAGCAAATTGTGCAAGTAAGTAATTATTTCCATTTAATGTTGTTATCATGATTCTGAATTATAGATAACAGGTTTTAGTTAACTATTTGACTTAATTGACTTGTACTTAAGTACTAAATAATTGGTGACATAGTTCAGTGCAATCAACATAGGTCAGGAGAATCAGGAGACTTGGGCTCAAGTCCTACCACAAACTAGTTAAATAACCTTAGACAAATCTTTATGCCTCCATTTCCTCCTCTGTCAGAAGAATGTCATCATATTCTACCTACTTTTCAGGCAAGTTGTAAGGGTAATTATCATGTATCAGCATTTTAGAGCTGGACAGCGCCTCAGTCATCATCTAGCTTATTGATGTCGTTTGATTATTGTTGAGGGTATTAGGTCATAGAGAGTGTGAGTGATTTGCCCAAAGGCAAGCATACAACTAAATATAAAAGTGCTTCAAAACCGTGTAAAATATTAAATATTACTGTAAAATACATATGTAATTCTTAAAATGTTATATAAATAGACTTTTCAAAGTACTTGTTTGGGTATTAAATGGGCTAGGATGTTGGGGATGTGAGGGACAAGGAAAGCTTTGTTCTAGGACTTTTCAAGAGAAGAAATGGGTGGAGTTAAATTTGCTTTAAACTGCTTGATAACTCAAAAGATTCAAAATTAAATTCAGTTAGATGGCATGCATGAAAGTCATACATTTTACTAATAGAGCCCCTTAGGTCTTTATCAAGAACCTTTTTTTTTCTTATTTTAGACATATTTCTAACTAGCTTTTTAAATTCAAGTCATGTGAAAAGTAATCCGGTTTCCTAGCTAATTAGAAGTAGAGTTGTTACTAGAAGCAGGTACATTGACAGCAGCAAAAAAGTGACAGCTAATAGGGAAGAAATAGAAACATCATAGAAAGGAGAAAAGTTTTGAGTAGTAATCAGAACTTTGCATTTGCAAAGGGGCAAAATAGCCTTATAATCCTGAATAGCTCTATAATAGAGTAGAATAATTGATGTTCATAATAACCCTGAGTTTTTAAGAACTGTTTAAACTTTAGAATATTCTTCTTTAGAAGGCAGAGAAGTGTGTAATATATATTAGAAAGAGTTCCATAAAAAATGGTTAGATAGGAAATGCTGGTATTCAAAGGGAAAAGTTACCAAGAAAACTTATTGTGTAGAATATATTTCCTTGATGACATCAGATAAATAAGTTGTTACTTTAATATAAAACAATTCACAATATATTGAGACTATACCAGCCATGTAAAAACTGGCTAAATAATTTTTGTAAAATAAAATATCTTTTTTTTCCAGATTGTTTAGCGAATAACAGTGAAGAACTATCAAACAGCACATTTAAGTTCCTTGATCTATTCAATCAGACTTTGACATGCTTTGAGCATAATCTTCAGGTATTTTAAACTTTTTACTGAGGATAAGATTCAACCCACTACATAGTATTATTTCCTGTTGCTTATATTTAATTTAGTGTATATATGTTAGGCAATTTTCTGGTAATTCCTTGAAGGAAGTAGAATGATCTATCCCTATCTCATTCCTCACAGAAACTATTTCAAACCTGTCTTCTCTCATTAAGATTCTCGTACCTCTCCTTCCCCCTACTCCTTCCAGTTGAAGATCATACCTCTTACTTTACTGGGAAAATTAAGGCCATTAGTTTGCTCTTTTTTCCCTTCTCTTAATCCCCAAATCCTGTGACATAACCCTCCACTCTCTCCTCCTTTCTCCAAATCTTTAGTAATCAAGTAGCCCTTTTCTTGGCCAAGGTCCACCCCCTCCATGTGCTCTTGCTCTCATACCCTCCCAACTTCCAGTACATTGCCCTCTTAATCATCTTCTCTAATCTTTAATATCTCTGTTGGCACTTTCACTTTTGCCTTCCAATATGCCCAAGTGTCTCTGTCCCATCCTTTAAAAAACTAAATCCTGTCATTCACCTCAAGTTGTTATTTATTGTCTTTCCTTTCTTTGCCAAACTCTTAGAAGAAGCTATCTACACTCACTATCTCCACTTCTTCCATCACACTTAATCCTCATCCCTGTTTTCAGTCTGGCTTCCTAGTTTATCACTTACCTGGAACTATTTTTTCTAGAGTTGCCAGTGATCTCTTAATTGATAAATCTGATGGCTTTTTTTTTTTTTTTGCTTTTGTTAGGTTAAGTGACCTGCCCAGGGTCACACAGCTAGTAAGTTATGTGTCTGAGGCCAGATTTGAACTCAGGTCCTCCTGAATCCAGGGCCAGTGCTCTATCCACTGTACCACCTAGCTGCCCCTGATGGCTTTTTCTAAATCCTTATATTTTTTGACCTTCAGCATTCGTTACTATTGACTGACTACCCACTCCTCCTCAATTCTCTCTCCTCTTTGGTATTTCCTTACACTGTTCCCAATTCTTCTTTGCTCTAGGACCCACACTCTAGGTGTGAGTGTGCTTCTCTTATATTGCAACTCTTTTTCGTTTGGTGACATTGTATCCCCAAGTCCAAATCACCAACTGCTTATTTGACATTTCATACTGGGTGTCCCAGAGATATCTCAAATTCAACAAGTCTAAAATATAATTCATTATTTTCTCTATTTCTGAAACTTACTCCTCTACTAAACTTCTCTATTTCTGTTGAGGGCACAATACAAATCTTCAGGAAATTAGCAATAACATGACTACCCCAGGATTTGGTTTATATTACTCCCCTTTTCACTCTACCATCCAGCTGTACTGACCTGCTCTCTGTTACTTACACATTGCATGCTATCTCCAATTTCTATGATTAGATATCTAGGGAGAGGAAGACTGAGGAGTCAAGAATGACCCTACGGTTGTCAACCTCAAAGATGGGAAGGATGTTGGTGCCCTTGATAGAAATAGAGAAAGAAGGAAGAAGGATGGACTTGGGAGAAAGTTAGAGTTCTGTTTTGGGCAAGTTGAGTTTGAAATGCATATGGGATTCCTAGTTTGAAATTTCCCTAAAGAAGTTGGTGATGTGTACACACTTACACACAGACACACAGACATACAGACACACACACAGACACACACAGACACACACACACAAAGAGGTTGATGATATGGGATTGTAGCTCAGGAGAAAATGAATCTGTGGCTTAATATATAGACCTAAGAGTCATCTCCATGAAAGTAATTAAATACATTGAAGTTGATGAGGTCTCTTAGAGAATGTAAAGAGAGAAGACCCAGAACTGAGTTTTGGGGTATATCCACAGTTATGGGGCAGGATATGGATGGCAATCCAATAAACAGTATTGGGGAGTGTCAGACAGGTGAGGCAAGAACCAAAAGATAGCAGTGTTACAAAAGTGCTGAGTGGAAAGATGCCCAGGAGAAGGTAGTCAACAGTAATAGATTCTTTAGAAATGTCAAGAAGTATAGATAAAGACTGAGAAAATGTCATTGATTTTGGAAAATAAAAAAACTGATAAAAGTAACTATGGAGAGCATATAGTTCTCCGTTAACATGAACTTGTAGATAATACATGGAGCATACATACATAACAGCCTATGGTTTTGAGGCTGCAATACTACCTAGTGGTTTGACAAGCACACACCATTTGTAGTTCACATATATATATGGGAAAGTTTGTTAAAGCCACATTTATTAGTAAATAATTGGTTTTCTCCCTTTTCAGTTCTTTTTCTTTGATTTTCATAGTTATTTGGAAAGGTTGATTGTTCTGTTGTGATTATTTGTTCTATTACGCATTGCCTATAATTTAGTCATCATTTTTTTTTTTTTTTACTTCTCAAGAACAATATCATTCAACTTAGTCTTCTGCTCAGTGGTTGGTTATGAAGCACCAAATCCTGGGCTAGATTGTTGTGTGATTGCTAATTTCCTGAAGATTTAAATGAACAAAAACCTCTTAATTTGGTGTATATGTTATCATTACCTAAAGTAAGAGTTTTACATCAGTAAGGACAAGATAATAGTACTTCTATGTGCTCAGTCTTATTATTCTGTGTCATAGTACACCATCTTTTAACGCTGTTTCATGTGCAGGATGAGAAACTTCTATTAGATGTCATTGATTGGCAGTCATCCTTCTTTTATGTTGCTTTGTTCCATGTCATGTGTGTCCTAAGTGTGGCTGCTACTATGCCTGTGGAACAGAAAAACAAAAGCTACTCTAGTTGTTCTGCCTACCTTCCTACTAGGGACTGTGGTGACTCTGCCATTCCACATCTTGCTCTGAGTGCAAAGTACCAACTGGGACCTTTTCTAGTATGTAGCTGGGGTAGTAGAGGGAAAGGGCATAAGCCATTGTCATCTTCCTCTTCAACCACGTAGAAGTAGCAGTAGTTAGGAATCTGAAGAAGAACCATGTCAAATAGCAGGTGGAGGGAGGGGAGGGAAGGGAAAGGATGTAGCAAGGAAAGTGTTTTCAAGTTGTTCCTTAACACAAGTATTTCTTATGCCTTCCATTACCTACATTCTTTTTCCTCTAATTGGAAAGGGAACTGCTAACTTATAGTATATTTTCACCCTTGTAAACAAATAAACCCAAATGAATTTATTGAAATAAGGAAAATCTTTCGAAGCAGTAAGATTTTTTTCTTTAACGCACACACACATACACACTTGTGTATGTATGTGTATATATGAGATATCTTTATATATATGATATGTGTATGTACATATGTTTATATGAAGTCTTTTGCAAAAATTGTATTCCCGCACCTCATTATGACATAAAAGTGGCTCTGGGTTCCTAAAGGGAAACTCCAGCAATGAACTCCAAACTGAGAGAGCTTCCAAGGATTGGCTCACAAACTGTTTGTCTTTGTTCAAGAATTAGTCTAGCTAATTCTGGAGAGGTTTGTCACTAAAACGTTCATTGGAAGGTGATGGATTTTCAGCCACAGCAATCTGCCACATACTAAAGTATAGAAGAGCCACGTTTTTTGTCAGTTTAGAGAATGAGACACCAGTGAAATCACAGAAGCTTAAAGTTTTAAAATGTGTTATATATATTATGTATGCTCTCTTTAGGGAGATTTGACCAATTTTCTCCAGCAAAGAAATTACACAGAAGTGTGCAAAAATTGCCAGGAAATATACAAAACCCTGAGTATGTTTTATAGTGAGTTGCAAAAAAAGAATGAACACAAGAATAAGGCTGAACCTGGAACACATCTATGCATTGATGTGGAAGATGCAGTAAGTGTTTTGATTCTGTTGTCTTATAATAGAAATGACTTTGACATAGGATTTGCCATCCCCTGAGCTTTTTATTTATAGTCTAAAGTTAACAGTGCTGTCCATATTTAAATTCTTGTTGCTAGAATAATAGTTCGTTTATGTAGTGTTTCATCTCACAATTTATAAAGTACTTTCCTCACAATAAACCCCTGAGTGTAGTTAAATCATTATTGTCCACATTTTACAGATGAGAATACTAAGGTGCCCAGAGAAGTTCAGTGACTTCTCTGCAGTTATTTCCACAGTGAGAGAGCTTGTTCTTGAACCCAGTATTCTTTCCTTTACGTCAGTGATATCAAACTTGAATAGAAATGGGTCCCTACAGGGCCACATATTGACTTAGAAAACTAGAAATTAACATATCTGTTTTATCCTATTTTTATTTATTTTGTTAAACATTTCACCATTATATTTTAATCTGGTTCCTCTCTGGAATTTTTGTGGGCAGTGAATTTTACAACTGTTCTTGCTTCTCTTTTGAAATCACACAATAGTGTCACCTAGGAATGTAACTTTTTGATTTTTACTAACACTTTTATGTAGCTTTATTTCAGTCTCTAGCATACTTATAATTAATAGAGACAGCCCCTATTTTTTTTTAACCACAATGCCTTCTATGAAACTAAGTGATTTGCAGACTAAAAACATAATTTTCCCCCCACAATGGTAAAACTTGATTACATTTTGCCACTAGATGGTGCATGTGTATTAGTAAAGGGTTACTTCATCAATTAATTAAAATATCTGAGTACCTACTATGTGCATACCACTCTGCTAGGCCCTGGGAGAAATACAAAGCTGGTTTCATGGAGCTTTGACTTCTGACAGAATTTATGGTGAATGTCAGCTGAAACTGAAAAATCTGTGCCTGGAAGTAAGAAATGTAATAGCAAAGAATGGGGGAAATGAACATAGAGGATGTTATTTAGGAGCCTTGCATAATTAGATTGGTGAAATGTAAGGTGATAAAAAAAAAAATACAACCCCAACCAGGAAATAGCTGTATTCTTATTATCCAGTTTTGTCTACCTCAGTTTGAAGCCCAAAATCTTTAAAAGGGCATGACTACTAGTAGGATATTTTGGACATTATTTTGAACTTGGGACATTGAAGTTTCTTTGTGAGAATGTGAATAAAATAACTTGAAAGGAAGCCAAGTTTTAATTCTCTGATAGATTAAATTTTATTTGACTGTCAATAGATTTTTAGGTTGTAGGTATGTTCTGAATCCAAAACATCTTAAGATCAGGACAAAAAAAAATTTCCAAGAGTACACGAATGACTTATGTTAATGTTTGCTATGGTTTCATGTTATTATTTTTTAAAATTTCAGATGAATATCACTCGAAAACTGTGGAGTCGAACTTTCAACTGTTCAGTTCCCTGCAGTGATACAGTTCCTGTAATTGCTGTTTCAGTGTTCATCCTCTTTTTACCAGTAGTTTTCTATCTTAGTAGCTTTCTTCACTCGGAGCAAAAGAAAAGAAAACTCATTCTGCGTAAGTAGCATTAAGAATGAATGAATATTGGATAAGCATTTATTAAGCGTTTACTATATGCTAGGCATTATGCTAAGCAGTGGGAATACAAATACAGGCAAGCAAGATTGTCCCTGCCCTCCAGGAGCTTATATTTTAATGGGGGAAAATATATGAAAGGAAGCTAGAGGGAAAAGGGAGTATATCTGTGGTGGTATGGTTTGAAAATGTCTGGGAAGTGGTGTGGTGGTTTGGTTTGGGGTGAGATAAGGTGAAATCTTATATATGAGAGCCAGAGGTCCCAGGGGTAGACTCTGCCCGAGTTCCAGTGGGAGGGGGTGATGAGGATGTACAGTAAGTCAATCCAGCTAGCATTTATTAAATTCCTGCTACATGCCAGGCACTGTACTAAGCTCTAAGGATACAAGGAAAGTTAAAAGAAAAGGTTCCTCTTCTCAAGGAGCTCACAGTCTAATGTAAGAGACAACATGCAAACAATTATGTACAAACAAGAAACATACAGGATACATCACAGGTAACTCAGAGGTAAGGCATTGAGAAGGAGAGCTTGGAAAGGCTTCTTACAAGAAGTGTGACTTTAGCTGAGATGTGAAGGGAAACCAGGAGACAGAGATCAGAAGGGAGTGTGTTCTGGATGTGGGGGACAGCCAGGGAAAATGCTTGGAGTAGGGAGATAGAGTGGCTTGTTGAGCAGGTAGACCAGCATGGTAGGATCATAGAGTGTGTGAAGGGAAGTAAGAAGACTACAAAAGTAGGAAGGAGCCAAGTTGTTAAGGGATTTAAATGCTAAAAATAGGATTTTATATTTGATCCTGGAGGTAATAGGGAGTCACTGGAGTTTATTAAATGGGGAGGGGGAAGGGATGTGGTCAAACCTGAATTTTAGGAAGATCAATTTGACTTTGAGTAGAGGATGGATTGGAGGGGTGAGAGACTTGAGGCAGGGAGACCAACCTGCAGGTTATTTAGGAATGAGGCCCTATACCAGGGTGGTTGCACTGTCAGAAGAGAGGAGGGGGCATATATTAAATGTGTTATAGGGGGCAGCTAGGTGGCGCAGTGGATAGAGCTCCAGCCTTGGAGTCAGGAGGACCTGAGTTCAAATCCAACCTCAGACACTTGATACTTACTAGCTGTGTGACCCTGGGCAAGTCACTTAACCCCCATTGCCTCACAAAAACAAACAAACAACCAAGAAAAAAAAATACAGGATGTTACAAAGGAACGCTAGGACTTGCCATCTGATCAGAAATAGGAGGGTGAGTGAGAATGAGGAGTTGAGGATAGTGGTGGCAGTGCCCTCAACAGTAATATGGAAATCAGGAAGAGGGGAATATTTTGGGGAGTGGGAAGATCATGAGTTCAGTATTGGACATGTTAAGTTTAAGATGTCTGGGATATCCATTTCAGGATTTCTAAAAGGCAGTTGGAGATGGGAAACTAAAGGTTGGGAGAGAGGTTAGGGCAGAACAATCATCTGCATAGAGATTATATTTAAACCCCGCGGATGATGTGGATGAAGACCCAACAGAGGAACCAGAGAAAGACCAATCAGACAGGTAAAAGGAGAACCAGAAGAAAACAGTGTCATGAACACCTCTCAAGAAGAGGATAATTGACAGTGTCAGAGGCTACATAGAGGTCAAGAAGAATGAGTGTTGAGAAAAGGCCATTAGATGTGGTAATTAAGAGGTTTCAGGCAGCATGGTTTGGCAATTTTGCTGGGGCAGGGGTTCTTAACTCAGGTCTATAAACTTGTTTTTTTAGTATTTTGATAACTATTAAAATATTATTGGTTTCCTTGGTAATCCTATGTATTTTATTTTTTCATTGAAAAACTTTCTGAGAAGAGTTCTATAGGCTTCCTCAGACTGCCAGAGGAGTCCATAACACACAGAAAAGATTAAGAACTCTTGCTTTAGGAGTATTCAGTTTATATACAGTACTTTACAATTTGCAAAACACTTTACATTTATTTATCTTTACAATAATCCTGTGAGATAGGTATTATAGTTATTATCTATTTTATAGATGAGGAAACTAAAGCATAGAAACACTAAGTCACATAGCTAGTAAGTGTCAAAGATGGATTTTAAGCCAAATCTTTCTGATTCCTAAGTCAAGCACTCTTTCCATGTTTTTAAGGTAAGACATCATGCATTTAACTTGAAAAGAGTCTTCAAATCAAAATATCAAATGAATGGACTTGTTGGGAGGTGCTGTACATGGGAATCACCAAATAATATCACAAAAATAAAATTGGTCATATCTTAAAAGAATTGAATTGACTGATAACCAGTATAGCTAGCAGTCATTTCTGAATTGGCTGTTCATGTACCATCAGAACACTGGCTTATTATCAAAGGTAAAAATCAACACCAAATTAGATGACAGAGTAAGAAATTAAAAGAATAGCTTGAACCTGAGCTATTTAAGCAATTTATTGGTGTAAAAAATGGGAAATGCCTAAAGAAAAGAGCACCAAGAGAGACTGTCACTATTTCCCATAGGAATTTGACTAATATCTAGATAGACTTCTGAGTTTCCTTCAGCTTCTAAATCGGTGATCTTATAAAAGTCATCACCATTTTAAGGAGGCAAAAAAAAAGGCCTGGAAATCACCTCAGCCAGTAAATATTTGATCTCTTTCTCTTATAGAGATATGCCAACCAGGGACCATACCTGTTTTAAAACATAAATTTATTAACAAAATTATATAAGGAAGGATGGGAAAGATTATGAGTAGTATTCCTTCATAAAATTGTGAGCAGCAGTGAGTTTACAGAAAGCTTAATACAAGTTCCAATTAATCTAGACATTCTCAAGATCATTTGAGGATGAAATTAAAAAGAGGGTGGTAGCTGATAAATGGAAAATATCTACCACAATTTCTACAACAATTTGCTTCATCGATTACAGTGGAACTATTACCATTTAAACTCTTGTTATAATAGTACACAATATGCTGTATATTTCCTTTTCTAGATATTAGTGTTGTATCTCCTCAAATATGGGAAAAGCCTCAAACTAGATTAAATATAAACAAGTTAGTTCTTTGCTGGAGATGACAGGATTTTGTGGGCATTGGGGGATTGATTTTTGAAGATATCTGAAAGATATACTTATTTGGAAAAATAAAATCACATGTTACTACTAAAAAAAATTGAGATGTTGAGTAATTCTTGAACCATATGCCTATTTTCTTATCTCTGCAAAATCTTTTTTTTTAAAGTAATTTACGTATAAGTCAAGGGCATCCTTAATAAAAATACAAGAAAGGAGAAAGCAAACAAAGAGATTTTCACAAATGGTGTTCTACTATAGATCATGTTTTTATAGTCATTCCATTGACTAAAAGATGCAGAGATTATAAGATCCAATTGTGCTTACTGTTTGTTGACTACAAAAAAACATTCAATTCAATAAAGCAAAATGTAGCCATAGACCCCTTTGACAAGGTGTCTATCATTTATATATATATATATATATATATATATACACACACATAACGTGTGTATGTATATATATATTTCATATACATATATATTAGCATCTTATAAGATTCCTTTGACTTTTTAAGCCCTCCCTCCCCCAAACTTTCCAGTCTTCTTAAGTTTTGCATCCTCATATATACTGTGTCTGCAATCCAGTGAGACTGGACTCCTTGCTGTTCTGAGAAGAAACTCCTTTCAACTCTGTGCATTTTTACTGGCTGCCCCCCATCCCTGGAATGCTCTTTTTCCTTGTTTCTTCCCTCTGGCTTTCTTGGCTTCCTTCAAGTACCAGCTAAAATTTCACCTTCTACAGGAAGCCTTTCCTGATCTGCCTTAATTTGAATGTCTTTCTTCTGATGATTAATCCCAGTTTATCCAGTATATAGTTGGTTTGTACATAATTGTTTGCGTATTGCCTTCTCCATTAGACTGTGAGTACCTTGAGAGCTGGGACTTTCTTTTGCTTTTCTTTGTATCCTTAGCACGTGGCACAGTGCCTGGTACATAGTGACTGACACTAGAGAAAACTTTGGTTAATTTGTTATTAATATCAATCAGACGAGATAGATGCTCATTAAAGATGTTTATCATGGCCACAGTGGTCATAGAGGACATCAACACAGATTCCAGATGGAGGAGAGGTTTCCTTCCAGTGGTAGGTTTCTAGATGCTCCTGTTTGCGGGTAGCATTGGATAGATAATATTAAATACTTAACATTGCAGAACTTCCTAAATGAGATCCATAATTACTTCAAAGAATTTGGCCTAACTTTCCAATTATAAAAACCATGTGGATGAAGAGTACCTTTGTCAAGACTATAACATGTAGTTGGATGAACTGTACAGAGCTAGTCCATTAATGCATCTATCTTGGTAAGATACTGCAGATGGACAGGGAGATGAGTTCAGAATTAAATAGGAGGAAGAGAGTAGGCTGGTTTGTATTGGGGAAATTGCTCAGTACTTTTCAATTACCCTAAAATTCTTTCTAAAACAGAAATGTTTTTGATAACAATATTATTCTGGTGATATTATATGGGTACAAATCCACAGAGTTCAAGAAATTGGGATTGCCAGTCACTCAAAGATCAATGGAAAGTTATGGTAGGGGTAAACAGGCTGCAGCATTATCACTTAAGAATGTATAGGAAAGTTACATAAAAGATGTCATTAGAGAGATAATATCAAAAAAAGAAGGTGGGTTAGTCAGATAGGGAAAATAAGGGATGACTGTACTTAGACTGTGTGATGGATTAGTATATATGTAATGTTAGGAGATGTAGAAAAGACCCTTTGCACATTTGGTGGACTTTTGGGGAGAGTTTATCAGCAGAAATGAAGTCATAGAGACTGTGAAGGGAAACATGGTTTGGAAAGATGGGCAGTCTGCATGGAGGAAATACCCATGTAATGAAATAGTAGATCTATTAAGTTTTAAAGTAGTTGGTGATGTTGGTATGACTGTCTTTTGTTGTATGATCCAAGAACACAGAAATTATGCCTGCATAATTCACTTTTTTGCTTTTGTTTTTAGCTTCTAGCAAGCCATTTGCAGCTAAATGCTTTTAGAAGTTGAGGAAGATGAGGAAATTAGGTTCATTATGCATTTTTAAATATACAATATACTCATTCCAACTTAAAATATAGATATTTTCATAAACTTGTTAATCAAATTGAGTAGACTTTAATTAAACTTTTGTTTTTTAATTCATCTAGCTAAGCGTCTTAAATCCAGTACCAGCTTCGTAAGCATTCAAGAAAATTCAAACTAAAGCCAAAAAAAGGTGAACTGAAATTATATCCCATGAATAAATGGTTGAGGAAGCAAGCTACGCAGAAAGAAGATACGTCCATCTACGTTTTAACCAATAGTTCTATGACTGACTGCTAAATGAATTAAGCTAAAAGTCTTAATATAGGTCAGATTCTTAACTGTGGGGCTATGTGGGGATTTTAAGCTCATTTTAAAATGAGACTAAACTCTTCCCATAGTTTTTTTTGTACTTATTTTGGGGCCTCTTTTTGGGTTAAGATTTTTGTATATGCCATGTGTAGCAATGGTTATCTATCTTACAATGCTTTTGTATAGTAACAAAATGTAAGAGTAGTTTTTGTTTAAAGGCGTATTGATCCTATTTAACCTGTTATAGGGTAAATATCTCAAACAGGAAAACAAGCAATTTTGAAATTTAGATATTTGCCAGACACTTGACACTTACTAGCTGTGTGACCCTGGACAAGTCACTTAACCCCAATTGCCTAAAAAAAAAAAATTAAATAAAAAAAATTAAAAAAAAAAAGAAATTTAGATATTTGGCTTATAATTAGCAAGTACTTTATTTGTTGATCTTAATGATTTGCATCCAAGATTTAGAGAAGGAAATATACTGCCTTTTAATATAAGGAATACGAATTCCTTCAGTTAAACAACATTAAACACATCACTGAGAGGAGTGAGTGTGCCAGCCATTTCACATTTGCTATAAATGGAATTCAGCAAAAGCTATAATTAACCTCCACTGTAGTACTGCTCAATATTTACTAAGATATATCTAATCTCTTGGTCATCTGCATACAGTATTTAACTAAAATTTCTAATTTTACTAAAGTAATTTTTGAAACTACTTTAAACTTTTCCAATAATTTATAAAAGAAGGCACATTAGTATGTAAATCTAGGAAAAGATTTATAGTAATTGCCTTGTTCTTACATGCTTTTTAAAAACAGTATTTAACATTATGTTTTTGTCTTTATTTTAAAACAAATTGGCATTATTCAACTACTGTAACCTAAGTTTTAATAATTCAGGGCAAAAAGATGTTCTTTGCAAACAAAGGAGCTGCACTTTTAATCAAATTTCACTGCTTGGCACCTTATTGCTTTATTACAGCATTAAATCAAATGAAACCATAATTATACCATTCTAAAAATGTAGCTTTACATCGAATTTTTGTGTTAGGCTACTGGATAGATGTGGGAGAATTTGGGTGGGAGTGTGGAGGGAGTAGGACAAGGAAAATCCAAGCCACTTTAGGTAACAGAAGAATAAGTGACTCAGAGGGAATATTTAATTTATTCTAATATTATTAAACTACTAATGCTTGATGGCACAAACCTAAATGATTTAAACAAGTATTAATTAATTAGTTAATTAAGTGTATTAATATAATGCTTTAATTTTCATAATTCTGTGAAATGTATATTATGTAGTTAAATGAAGATAGAAATCTCACCAAGCTTTCTTTTAAAAGTCAATCCGATTTTCTAATATTTAGTTTAACTTAAAAAATAGCTTAGTGTCAGCATTTGGCAGCTATTCTCAGGTTTTTAGAGTTAAGGTTCTTAATTAATGCTTTTTTCATTTTGCTGTTGTTTGACTTAAGAAAATATGAAGATAATTTTTCTTTGCAGGAATTCATTTTTGGTAAAACAGTGAGAGACTTCGTTTCCATGTCTGAGTTATCTGTACGGTATATGAGAGAAGGCTGATTCTTGGCTGTTTAACAGAAAACAAGTTTTTGTTCTTTCCTGGCCTCCATTCCTAAACTTTCTGGATTTGTTCAGCTGCCACCTTCTATGCTGTTCCTAATAGCATTATCTTGATTTGAAGAATCATATGATTGAGTGCTATTGAAAGCAATCTTTTATTAATGCTAATAAAACCAGTTTACATGTCCAAAGTTAGAGAATGACAGCTTTGATACTCTAAGTAGTGGCTTCACGGCTAAGTAGTCATGAAAGTCATTATTTTTGGATGTGGTAAATAAGCACTTTAAAAATGAAAGGGCAGCCTTCATTTTTCTTCTGACTGACTCATGTGACTTTAGAAATGGCAATCAGAACAAACTTCTGAAATGATCCTGTTTAAATATTTAAATATTGCATAATCATTGCATAGCTCTACGTTCTGGAAACATAACATACATATATGCCCCTAACGTATGTCAAGTTGCATTAACATGGTAGGTTTTAAAATAAATTACCTAAAGGAAATTTCAATACTGCTTTTGATTTTTTTTTTAAATACCACTGTTTCCAGGTTGTAATTTCACATTGCACTTTATTGAGTTTTCAGAGCCTTCTTTTAAATATTAGGTATTTGTATTTCAACTGAAAATAAAAGATATTCACGTTTTTGGGTAACATTTTAATTTAAAAATAAAAATTATATGTAAAATTGTGAAATATTATGCAATATCACTGTAGTTGAATCTGATCATTTTTACCCTCTGTTTAGTAACTGTTATTTCTAATAGGACCATTATTTTTGTAATAGCATATAGGCAGTTTATATTCTCCACCATACTTCCTTCTTAAAACTGCTTGAAAGAATGTTGGATTTGTAAACAGAGGTCCTGGGTTCATATCTGGTTCTGCCAAATACCAAATATTACCTGTATGACCTTAGACAAATCACTTAATTTCTCTGGGGCTTCAGTTTTCTTATCTATAAACAATGAGAGAGTTTGACTAAATCACCCCAGAGGACCCTTCTAATTCTATGATCCTTTAATCCACTTTACTTGGGGAGTAATATTAAAATTGGTAGTTCTGTTCCAGGCCGGGGATCATACATGATGAATAATATGTCAGAAAATACAAAGATACGGTATGTCAGAAAATACAACGGTATGATAACAACAAGTGTCTATAATAACAAAATAAAATTATCCTCCAAGTCATAGAATTTAAGAATCGGAATGAACTTTAGAGATCAACTGATCCAGCCACCTCATTTTACAGATGAAAAAATTAGGCACAGAGGAATAGAGAGACTTGCCTAAGGGCACACAGTCCGTTGCTCATTATACCACACTGCCAGTCATATGTATGTTTTTAAAAACAGATATATATTGATTAGTCAAGGAACCTCAATATTACTATGAATATATGTACACCATATTAGAAAAGATAATTATACTGTATCATAAATGTGATTTATTTAAAACTAGTATGCTAGCTTTAATAAATATGTTTAACTAATTTCTGTTGCCTTAGAATTTGTAAGGTTTGGGGTTGGGGGGGCGACAAATGACTTAGATGGGCCATCATGTCTTATTTTAAAAAAAAATTATCAATATATTTTGTTTTGACACAACAATCTCTTTCCAGTACTTCCTCTCTGATAGTACTTTGCCTGGAAAAAAAAGTTAAGCCAAACTGATATAGTGATTGTGAAAAATAGAACATGTAACATTCTGCATTTTGTTTACTAAATTTAGTTTACTCTTCATAGAAAGGGAAGAAATGTACTTTTACTCTTAATAGAGGGGAGAAAAATGTGCTTTAACATCAGCATCTGGAATCAACAAAAATTGTATTTGATCTAGATTCTGTTGTTTTTTAGTATTCATTTCTAGCTCCTAAATGCCTAGACTCACTCTTCCCCCAAGGCTGAATTCAGGAGTCATTTCATCCATGGATCCTTCTGTAACTCCCTCCACCTTTCCTCTTACCACCTCCATTTAAAAATGTTTTTTCACTCCTCAGATTCTTCATAGTACTGTGCCTCACTTCTTCATACATTTCACTCTTTCTTTTTTTTTTTTTTCAGCCAAAGAGGTTTATTAAAGATCTGCCATATTAGCCAGACTCTTAAGGAATCTGAGTATCTGTGAGCTATTGGCTAGATTGTAAAAATCTGAGCAGTGGCTAAATTTTAAGAATCTAAGCCCACTCTTTCTTATATCATAGTCATTTGTGTACTTAGGATTATAGATTTAGCTCATTTTACAGATGAGAAAACAGTTCTAGTGAAGTTTTTTTTTTTACCCAGCAAATAATTAGGATACTAACTCAAGTCTTTTGACTATGGATAGAGTTCTCCTTTCCATTATATCATACTGTCTCATCACTTTTACACAGTAAACTGATTAAAAATAGGTCTGTACTGAATTTATCTCTGTGTGTCAAGTACCATGTACTCTGCTTGATAGTTGTTGAATTTTATTTGATATGGAAAGCTTAGAAAAGGGAGTTGATCAAATTGGCAAAGATGGTCAAAGAAACAAACAAAAAACAGATCCACTTATTGTTGGACGTGCCTTGGGAAGACAGGCATATTAATACTCTGCTAGTGAATTGGTCAGTCATTCTGGAAAACAACTTGGACCCCAACAATACCATTACTAGGCCTATACTGTAAAGGGATCAAAGAGAAAAAGGACTCACATTTCAAAAACATTTATAGCAGTTCTTTTTGTGATGGCAAAAAAAAAAAAACCAACCTAGAAGCCAAAGGGGTGTGGGTACTCATCAACTGAGAAATGACTAAACAAATAATGGGAATATCACTAGGCACTTCTGTGCTCTTAGACGTGATGAAACCTAGAATGACTTATATGAACTGATACAAAATGAAGCGAGCAGAACCCAGAGAATAATTTATACAATTATAACATTGTAAAAATGAAAAATTTTGAGACTTAACTCTGATCCACACAGTGACCAAGCATGATTTCCAAAGGGCTGAGAGAAATAGACTAAATATGCAGATGGAGACATACATTTCTGGACATGACCACTGATGATAATTTGGTTTGACTATGCATATTTGTTGTAACAGTTTTGTTTCTCTTATGTTTTTCTTTTGGGTGAGGGGCAAGGAAGGAGGAAAAAACATGCTTATTTATGGAAAAATAAAAATTAAAAAAAAGACAACTTGGAATTATATATGACAAGGCACTAAACTGTTCTTACCCTTGGACGCAACAGTCCTGCTACTGGAAATATACTTTAAGGAGATCAGTGACAGAAAAAAAATGTTTCACATGTAACAAAATATTCCTTTAGATAGCAAAAAAACCCAAAACAAAACAAAACAAAAAAACCATATGAGTGTGCATGGGAAAAGTTGTATACAAATGAAATATTACTGTGTGGTAAGGAATGATAAATGAGGAATTCATTAGGAATATGGGAAGTAATACAGAAAAATTCAGAACCAAGAAAATAATGTACACAAAAATGACAATAAGTAAATGAGAGCAACACTAAAAGACAGCTGGACTCAGGTCATTTGCAATGAAAAACTTTGGTTCTAGAGAGCATATGAGTACCAACTTTCTCAGTAAAGAGAAGAAGGTCTTTGGATGTCAAATTTTGATATACTGTCATGTTAAGTAGTTTTCTTTTTTAAAAGAAGGTCTATAGGAAAATAGGGGAAAGGGAGGAAGCATATTAGAAAATGACATCAAGCTCCATGAAAGGTATCAGAAGAAAAGTGAATGCTGTATAGTGTACGGATTTTTAGCTATTGTCATTGCATAAAATTTTAAAACTCATATTACAAATTGTTTAATCTTTTATCTAGCATCTATTTCTTCATCACTGTGTGTTCTATTCTCCACTAAATCCCTACAAAATTACTGTCTCATGGTAGGGAGGTAACTCATGTTCTCTCAATGGCAGTGTCAGTGATATATAAGGTTTCTCAGATATTACTAACCAGGAAAGATTTCAGGTATCAGCCCAGTAATAAGTTCTATGTTTTTTCTGAGCAATCCAAAAAAGCCATTATTTAATTTCTCTAGGACACAGTAAAATGAAGGAGTTGGACTGAATGACCTTTAAGGTCTCTTTAAGCTCCAAGTCTGTGATCTAAGATGGGAGGCTACAAAGCGGGGTTTGTTTTTTTCTGTCTGGCATCTCCAGAAAACATGAAAGTGTTGATGAACTGTGATGATGGGAAAAGCGCACACACACACATGAAATCATGAGTACTTAGAATATTGAAGTCAATATTTGCTTGCATTATATTACTTTAAGGCATATAAAGTGATTTCTGATGCCATAATTAAAAGGTATCCAGATGTTTAATATTCCATTTTGCCAAATTATTCTAGGGGAAATGATTTATCCAAATGCTGCTTTTCTTGTTTATTTTAAAAACACACTTTTTCAAACTTGAAATACATCAAAATATAGTAGTGACATGCAAATATATGACTAATTTCCACCATGGTATCTGCTGCCAGTAGTGAAAAATCAGATAATTAGGTACCTCTAGAACAAATGCTAATTTGTTTCACTGAATTGTAGATCTTTATCTACACCAGGGACAATTCAATGTCAAACTGGGGCAGGCCTGGAGAGATCTGTAGCTTAGCTTGATGGTCCTACCCACAAACCTAGTCTAAAAGAATTTGCAATACATCAGTTGATGGCAAAATCTTCTGGAATTCAGTACACTCTAAAGAGATTTTGGGGGTGGGTTTTGGCTTGGTTTTGATTTCTTGAGCAAATGAGAATTCCTGGAGAGATCCTGGAAGTGACTTAACTGCTCCGGGCTCCTGTCAATATTAAGCAACCCATGACCCAGTGTAGCTGCTCTAGACTAGAGTGACTTTGGACTTTCACCTCTAGGGCTGAGGTGCAGGAATGTCTCAGGGGTAATGTACACCAATGTGTTTTATATGTATTTTGTAAAGGGCTCTCATGGCATATTGAACTTTGAGGCATTTTATCAGAAATATTTTACACTTGAAATTTAGAAACATGACCCTTAAATTTCTTTGGAAGAGAAACAGTTTTTATATGATCTGTATAGTTCTATAGGGTTAGCAGATTATTGAAGAATTACTACAAAACCACATAATTAACCGAGCAATCCCACTGCTGGGGATACAGTCCAGTGAAGTCAAAGACAGAAACAAAAGTTCAATTTATATCAAAATAGTCATAGTAGCGCTCTTTGTGGTAACAAAAGAACTGGAACAAAGCAGGTGCCCATCCATTGATGAGTGACTGAAAATAACTAATAAGTGAATATAATTGAATATTATTGTACAGCAAAAAAATTACTAATATGAGTTCAGAGAAATGTAGGGAGAATTGTATAAACTGGGGCAAAGAAACAAGTAGGACCAAGAAAACAAGCTACACAATAACTATATCAACGTCATTGAAAAGATTGGTAAAAGGTAGTCGAATTCTGAATAACATCAAAACTAATGAGCATTCTGGAAAAGAGATAGTGAACTGTAGCTCCTATTTCACAGAAGAAAGGCATAGGAGCTACTGGGATAAAATATTTATATTGATAGATGAGGTAGGTAGGAGAGCTAGGTGGTGCAGTGGATAGAGCACTGGACCTGGAAGCAGGAACATCTGAATTCAAGTGTGGACTCAGACACAAGCCATGTGGCCCTGAGCAAGTCACTTAATCCTGTTTGCCTCAGTTTTCTCATCTGTGAAGTGAGCTGGAAAAGGAAATGGCAAACCATCCAGTATCTTTGCCAAGAATACCCCAAATGGGGTCACGAAGAGTTAGAACTGACTGATATGACTGACGACAAAGATGAGGTAGGCAGTTAAGTAGCATAGTGGATAGAGCGTTGGGTCTGGAATCAGAAAGACCTGAGTTCAAATTTGGCCTCAGATAGGTACTCACTGCGTTCCCCTTGGTAAATCATTTAACCTCTCAGTTTCCTCAACTATGAAAACGGGGATAGTAGCACCTACCTCGCAGAGTTGTGAAGATCAAATGAGATATTTGTAAAGTGCTTAGCACAGTGTGTGACACATAGTAGGTGTTATACAAATACTTACTTCCTTCTCTTTCCCTTAACCCTATAAAGAAAATAAAAGGCCAAAAACACCTCATAAAATCTAGCAATGATGGCCTCTTGGCCAGGGCTAGTAAAATTGCGTTTGCCTGCCATTTTGCAGATGTGAACAGAAGTGCTTTAAACTGAAATAGGAGAGGAAGAAGATGCCCAAATACTTCAGCCAAGCTAGGCACCCCAGAGTGGAGAATGTGCAATATACAAAAATCAGTGTCAAGCACCAGAAATTCACCGAGGGACAATATCCAAGAAGAGAACTGGTAATAAAATTCATTGGTCTCAGATGTCTATATGTAAATCACAAAGTCTGACTTGGATCAAAGTTAACTCATGATCCTAATTGTTGTTTGTTATTCAGTTGTGTCTGACTTTTTATGACCCCGTTTGGGGTTTTCTTGGCAGAGATAATGGTTTCCC